ATATATATATATATATATATATATATCATAGTTATGGTTTAGAAAATAGTGTGAAAGAAAAAAAAAACATCCTCCTAATTTCTTTTCTCCCAATAAGAAGAATCAATATGAAAGAGGATATAAATCTGCAGCTGATGAAGACGAAGCAGTCCATGGCCCATCTTTTGATGAACTATTTCCATGGGTTTCACTGCTATCAGTTTCTTCCATTTGAGAGTAATATTGTCTTATAACCTCTTGCTTCTTTTCATCCATTATTTCAGATGAATCTAAAATAAATTCTGGTATCACAGCTTTTCCTTCAAGCATGCTAAGTACTGATGACATGGTAGGTCTAAGGTTTGCAGTGGCATTTGTGCACAGAAGACCCACTTTTATCATCATCATAACCTCTTTTTCATTGAAATTTGATCCTAACCTTCCATCAATAAGCTCCATCAGATTCCCTTTCTCTTTCAACAAACGTGCCTGTCAAACAAAATCCAACATATCAAGCATGTGAAAATACAATAAAAGGAGAAAATTGAAATACAAAAAAGTTATTAAGGACACAAGTTGAATGTAACACAACATGTAAAATTATCATATCTAAAAGTTGAATTACATGCCAAGTAACACAACATAAATATAGTGTGCAAGGAATAATTTGATTGACACAAACAACTGTAGAAAATAGAAGTTACCCAATCTAAAAGATGCAATGCTTCTTGCTTGGGTCGAGGGATGGTATTATTCTTTCCAGTTACAATTTCCAAGGCAACCACTCCAAAACTATAGACATCTGCTTTATCAGTTAAATAACCATGCATTGCATATTCTGGTGCCATATATCCACTGCATAATTCAATTCCATATTCATATCAAATTTCTTAAATCAAATCATGTTTAAATTTTGTTATCTGAACTATCATAACAATTGTTGTTTGTTTTTTTTAAAAAAAAAAAATCATAAAAAATAACATTTTTAGAAACTGCAATCGACTTACTAAGTCCCAGCTATTCTTGTGCTTATGTGGGTATTATCCTCATCATCAAGCTTTGCAAGACCAAAATCAGATATCTTAGGGTTTAGATCTTTGTCTAACAACACATTAGTAGCCTTTATGTCTCTGTGAACAACTTTTAATCTTGATTCTTCATGTAGGAAAGCCAAACCTCTAGCTATACCAACACAAATCTTGTACCTGGTTGCCCAATCCAATCGCATACAACATTCTTCATTTCCTTCATACATCAATACCATTTAGTCATTTAAATATTAAAACTAAGTTACAGTAAATTAAGGAACCATATTTGATGATTATGAAAACAAATACTTACTAAATAAAGCATGTGCAAGGCTATTATTTTCCATATATTCGTATATTAGCAACAACTGATCTTCCTCAACACAACAACCGTAAAGTTTAACAAGACAAGGGTGTTGCAAAGCTGAAATCAACCCTATCTCATTTATAAACTCACGGTTCCCTTGCTTAGACTTTGATGAAAGCATCTTAACTGCTATTCTTGTGCCATCTGATAAAGTACCCTGCAATTACGAAATAGTTCAAAAATTTTGTAAGTTTTCTGTATTATGTAATATATTATTTATAAAATTGCAATAGATCAATCAGAGTAGTTATGAGAAGTTATGTAATATATTGAAGGGTACCTTGTAGACAGGACCAAAGCCTCCTTCCCCGATTTTATTAGAAATATCAAAGTTATTCGTTGCAACTTTGATTTTACGCATAGGAAATAATCCCATTTGCAAATTCAAATGCTTTAACTCTATAATAGAATAGAAATAAAATTAGATACCTTATACATCTCGAAAAAATGCTTTGTTTTATCAATATGTTGATAAAGATAAGTGTTATTTTTAGAGTTTGGTTGCCATACATTGTTATCAAATTATAAATCACTAATACTATAATTATTAAGGCAATGATTATAAAACTCATCACAAGTGTCACACATAAGAGGTTGAGATTGAAAGATAAAAAAAAAAACTATTTTATGCTATTAGTGTACAACTTTTTTTCTCTTATTTTAATCTCCAAAAATCATACCAAACTGGAATATTCGATGCAATTTTTTTAAAACAAATCACAACAAATTGTATTTAGTGAATATGCTGTATAAAATGTTTACATTTTAACCTAATTACGAATGATTTTTACTATAAAAATAGTTATCATTAAAAGAAGAGCTTACACTCAGTAGTTTATGATTTAAGATCATTATAAAAACAGTTTATACTGTTGTGCATATACTATTTTGGTGTAAAGATTTTAATGGAAATGAAATGTCAAAATCTATTTGAAATCTGAGATAAGAACAAAACTAACACATATTTCACCATTTATAGTTTGTAACTTTATTATAGATAATTACCTTTTGCTAATGAATTTCTTTTGCCAATATGAAGTCTCCAGGCAAGTACAACCAGTATGACTAATATTATTGCAGAAACTGCTATCCCAATTGCAACCCCTATAGCCATGCCACCTGAATCTGTTCTGGAACTGTTTACTAATAATTGCAGAAGAGCAATAGGTGTCATTTGATAGCTTAAATGGAAAATTGGAAGAAAAAAGTGACAGAGACAAAGTGGGTTACCACGAGTGACAGATATAGCTGATATAAGAGGCCCATATACTGATCTATATGGGATAGCAGTTGTTCCTTTTCCAGCCCAATAAAATCGAATCTCTAAAGAGTTATTACTAACAGTAGTTGAAATTCTTTTTGTGATGTTCTTCCCAACTCCTCCTGCTTCATTTGCAATATTGAAATCCTTCAATTCTAGCTTTCCCTGCAATAGTTTCATGAAAAACCTTAATGGATTTTGACTTCTGTAGTTCTTAATATACAGAGTCTGAACGTTGAATAATTCTACAAGTGAAGGCAAATGCACTAGAAATACTGCTATAGTACCTGAATGTAAACATCAAATATACGTCTTCCAAGACTGCTATATGTGTTATCATCAGTGAACATGATCTCTGCAAAATGCAGTGATACTGTGTACTCTCCATTTTCCAGACACATTCCGTAATAAGTCAAGGAAATGGGAGATACACGTGCTGTCTGATACAATGCGGAATCAGTCATAGAAAGCGTCTTTTGACTTTGCTGAATATAGTCTTCTTTATTATTACCACCCAAGAAATGACCGGTATTGCTAAATGCCCAGTTTTCTTTGAGCTTTATAGATGTTGCTGCCCCTGATCTTGCTGCCCCTGATGAATCCACGTCATCATCATATAGTATACCCTCACTGCTTGTCTCTTGTCCACCACCACAATTTATATGGAAATAGTCAAAGGCTGTTACAAGACAGACTTAGAAGAATATTTGAAAAAATGGTGTACTGAAACTTAGTATAATATTGTTTAACAGTAAGAAAGCTTGAAGAAAATACTGAAACTTACATCTTGTACAGTTTGCTGTTGTCAGACAAGTAACAGGTCCACTGTAGGAATATTAAGACCAGACCAAACACAAGTTAGCAAAAACATTGAACCACAACCTTAAGCCACTTCTTAGACTGATTTACGGAAAAAGAAATCAATATTTTTCTAAACCTGGACTGGATTTTAATCCAAACCAACTTTAATGGTGCTGCCTTACTCAGAAAATAGGAGTACATATATATATATATATAACTTACTTTTGGCTCATTGGGAAGCTTGCAAACAAGTTCCTGTGGCATAAAAGACATGATTAACACAATATCTTGATAAATTACAGACAAAAAGGATAAAATATCACAGTTCTTACACTCCTGCAATCTCTTGGCATGCCACGGTGGAGTTTTTATCGGTGAAGTTGTTGTATGAAAGATCTCTATAAATACATGTAAAGTGCAATTCAGAAACTAAGAAAAAACCAATGGGAGGTAAAATAATTAAAGTTGTTGCATAATTAATAAAAGATCTCTATAATAAATATTTTATTTTTGTAATTAAATTAATTTTTTTATAAAATGATTTTAATTAAATAATTTATAATTATAATTATTAAAAATTAAAAAAAATTATATTTCATTATAAATTAATTTTTGTTTACTATAATAAATTTATTTAAACAAATATTTATTATAAAAAAATTATTATAATTAATTTATTATAATGAAATAAAATAAGTTTATGCATAAATTTTCCATAAACAAAAATGCTTGAGATGACTCATAGAAACTATCACAAAATACTTTGCACGGGTGATGGTAGTCGCCAACAAAAATGTGAAAATATGTCTGACACCAAGGTAGTTGAAAAATATAATTCGTACCTTTAGAATATTATTTATTTACAATAAGAAATTCTTAGGTCATAACTAACATTATCCATGAATTTTACCGATGAATCTTACTTATAAATAAATTATCTATGAATATTATCTACTAATAGGATCAATAGGTAATTTCTTATCCATCGAATTTGTAGGTAATTTAAGTTCGAATGAGAAAAAGAATGCAAATGAATGAAATAAGGAAAATAAATGTAGAAATAAGATATGTGTGGATGAAAATTTTGAGTGTGGATGAAAGAGACAAATGTGAGTGAAGAGATGAGTATGGATGAAATATGAGTAAGAAATTTATAAATGTGAATAAAAAAAATGAATGTAATAAGACATATATAAAAAAATTATGATTGAGGAGATTTATTATCTTTAAATTTGAATCTTTACATTAAAATTAATTTGCAGTCCATGTTCTGGAAAATATATATAGTTTTATAATACATAATTTAGTATAACGTTTGTTAAATCCATACTAAATTTTATTTTTTATGATTAGATATGCAAAAGTCAATGTTAACTTAAATAAATAAAATATTAAAAATAAATAAAATTAGTGTTTGTTAAGTAAACATTAATCTTAGTATATATATTTTATATTTAATGTCTGTTTAGCCAATATTTATTTAAATAAATAAAATTAGCATTTAATAAATCGATATTAATATTATTTATTTTTAATATTTTTTCATTTTTTTATTATTGACATTTATTTTGTTAATATGGATTTAAATAAATATATTAAAAGTAAATAACTTTATTTATTTAAAATATTTATTTTATTATATGTATAGTTAATACCTTCATATATTATATTGAATAAATATACATATTATAAATAAATAAATTTAATGTTTACAAAACTGGCACACATATTATTTATTTATAATATTCATTAAATTATACTGATTCAAATATTTATTTAATAAAAAAATTATATATTTTTATTTGTTCTTTAAATTATTTTTTGTGTCATTTTACAATCAGCTATACCCTCACTAATAATATTATCAGTAATTTGATCATTCTAATATTCGAGAACTAAATTTATATTTTTTCATATGTATATAAATAAATATTTATATCAATGGGAACAAATGTATTCGCATTTAATCTGTGGTGTTGCGTACGGTTTAGAAGTACCCAAATATTTCATTATATATTTCCATTATTCTTTTTTATATAAAAAAAAAAGTAAGCTAATACACTATATGAGTAACAAAGAATGTTTAAACTGTTTAAATCTATAAAGCATAAAATAGGGTTTGAAATAAAACTCACATAGAATTAACTGCTGCTATCCACGCTGGTAGGGGCCCACTAAGTAGGTTTCCAGTGAAATATCTGAGAAATAATTACAAAAGAAAAGTAAACTCTGTAGTAGAAAAATGCTAAGCTAATAATTTCACCCTCTTTTCTTTTCTTCCTTTTCTTAAAACAAGAATAATATTTTCTTGAAAATTA